TGCCTGCTCTCTGGAATAGGATAACCATAGGCATCTTATTCTTGCTAGAAGTTTCTGTCCTTTGAAAGTCTCTGGTATATGTTAGTGAGAGTCAACACGTAACCACAATAGTGTCTTTCCATTTAGCCAGTGTAATGTTTTCTGTGGTTTTACAAATAAATATGAAATAAGTCATTCTAATAGATCACGCTTTACAGGTCCGCTGCTCCCATGCCACTGCATTTTGTTGCAATGATGCAGAGGTTTCAGCCAACAAAGTGTTTGCCCTTGTAGAAACCTCATGCAAAGGTGAGAGACAAAATTACTACCTTTATGAACTTATCTTGCAAGGTAGCAAAGTTATACTTATTTTTTCATTTTGAATAATTAATTTGTTAGCATCCTTATTCAAATATTAATTCCCATGCTCTCATTCATTTTTATCATTTATTTTCCAAAACATTTCCTCCTAAAATAGGTCCAGTTTGGTGGGTAGATTCAGCTTGGCGACTGAACTTCCACTCTTTCTGGTGCCCCGGCTCCTATACATTTCCAGGTATGTGGGGTAACAAATCTGTATGTCTTTTATTGATTTTTTTGTCTTAATGCTTCAGCTAAAACCGCTGTAACCACATTAAGTAGGTGTAAGAGCAGAAATCTGCCTTGCTTTTCATCTCAGGTGAAAGGCATTCCGGATTTTCACCAGTAGGTAGAGGGCTCACTTCAGGGGTTTTTGGTAGCTTTTTAAAATCATATTGACAAAGACCCCTTCTATTTCTTGTTTGCTGAGAACTTCTAGTGTAAATAGATGTTGGATTATCTCCAATGCCTTTTCTGCATCTGTTGAGATATTAATAGGGTTTTTCTTTTTTTAACTAAAAAGTGAATCACACTGGCTTTTGAAATGATAAGCCACTGGTGCAATCCAGGGATAAACTCTCCTTGGTTATGATATATTATCCTTTTCTAAAGACACAATTTTGGATTTGATTTGTCAAAATTTTGTTAAGAATTTTCATATCCATGTGCATGAGAAATTCTGGTCAGTGTTTTTTTTTTTGTGGTAATATCTGTGTCTGATTTTAGTATCAGAGTTATTGCAGCCTCATAGAATGAGTTGGGAAGTATTTACTTCTCCTCCATTTTATAAAGGATTTTGTTTAAAATCAAATCACTCCATCATAATTTTCTATTTATTTTCTTAAAGCATTTTTCTTACTTCTTTCTTTACTTACTCTTATGATCTTTGTTTAAAATTGGCATTATTTCTTTCATAAGTATTCAGCAGAATTCATCAGGGATGTCTTATCGACCTAGAACGTTCTTTGTGGGACAGTTTTCAAATTTAGTAACCTATTCATATAAGAATATATAGGTTATGAATTTATTTTTGTGTTGGTTTTGGTAACTTGTTTCTTTCCGAAGGAATTCATTCATTTCTTCCCAGTTGTTGAGTTTATTGTCACAACATTATTTATTATATGGTATATATTTTAAAAATATCTATAGAATGTATTGATTTCCTATCTTTCATTATTGGTATTTCTCATTTGTGTCTTTTCCTTTATTCTGACAAGTCTGGCTACAAGCGTATCAATTTTATTGATCTCAAATAATCAGCTCTGATTTAATTGATTTTTCTACTATTCTTTTTTTTCTACTTCATTAAATTTACTTCTCCTTTATGTCTTTTCTTTTGCTGAATTTTGGTTTAATTGGCTATATTGTTCTAGATTTTTAAGATATAAACTAAAGTAATTGATTCTGTTCTGTTTCAGGCATTTAGTGTCAGAAGTCTCCCCGCATCATTTTTTTGATTGTGTTGTGCAAACTTACATAGATTGTGGGTTTTTTCATTAACTGGAAATTACATCCTAATTGCCTTTTGATTTACTCTTTGCATAAATCTTTTGGAACTGTTTTGCTTATTTTATATAGGTTTTAGGATTTTCCAAGTAACCTTTCATTATTGAGTTCTAATTTAATTTCTTTACTGTCATTTAACATATTTTTAGATTTTGAATTTTTTTCTACTTATTGAGATTTTTTTCTTATGGCCCAGAATGTTTTACCATTATGCAATGGCCCAGAATATTGCACACATGTTCTGTATGCAATAGAAAAGAACCACACACTGCTATTGTTCAGCAAAGTGCTTCATAAGTGCTAATTAGTTAAAGTGGGTTGATAGTATTGCCATCAACCTACATGGCCCGATTATCCCGGTCAGTTTGTCCCAGTCAGTGTTCAAATAATATTATACCACTTACTATATAGATAAGAACCTTACACGGACATACTTGCATGTCTCTCTTTCTTTCTTTGTTCTATCATTATCATATGTTTTACTTCTGTGGATGTTATAATTCACACAAGCACCCCCATATATATGTATGTATATATATATATGTGTGTATATATATATGTGTGTATATATATATATAAAACTTCTGCTTACTCAATTATCTTTTAAATAAATTTAAATCATAAGAAACTCATTTATGTATTTACCATTTACACTTTTTCTTTATTTGCAGATAAAGATAGAATCATTTTACTTAGAAGTCTGAAGAACTTCTTTTAGTGTTTTAGTATGGCTCTGCTAGTTATAAATCTTTGAGCTTTTGTAAGTGTGAAAAATTATAATTTTAACCTATGTTTTTATTATTATTATATTTTTATCGTTGTACAATTACAGTTGTCCCCATTCCTACCCCCCCCCCATTTGGACTCTCCCCTGGCCCACCCACTCCCCACCTCACACACTCAATCCTCCCCTCACCTGATTATTTCTATCCATGGGTCTTTTATACATGGTCCTTGACTAAACTCTTCCCCTTCTGTCCCCCATTAACTCCCTTTCCCTGTCCCTTCTGGTCACTGTCAGTTTGTTCTTTATTTCCATGTCTCTTTTAACCTGTGTCTTTTAAAGATACTTTGAGTATAAAATTTTAAGTAACATTTTCTTTTCTTTTAGTGTTTTAAACATACTCTTCTATTGTCCTCGGGCTTGAATTGTTCCCAGTAAAATATCTCCTGTCATTGTTTATTTGTGTCTCTGCACATGTTTGTTTATTATTTTGTTTATGTCACTGATAGTAATATTTTTTCTTTGTCATTGTTATTTGATTATGATATATCTTGGTGAAATTTTTTAAGTCATGGTTGTAGTTTGTCAAAAAAACAAAAACAAACTTAAGTAAGACATCTTTTGACACTAAAATATAAAGCAGATAATCCTATCAAGTAGTTTTTATAGCTATAACTATCTAGATAAAATGCAGCATATTATTAGATAAATACATTTTTGTCATATTTATCTTCTTAAAAATCAGACTTTACTTTTAGATCAATTTTAAGAGCAGTTTTAGGTTCACAAAAAAGGAGTGAAAGGTACATAGATTTCCTACATATTCTCTTCCCTCACCCGAGCACAGCCTCCCGCAACGTCAGTATCCTGCATAGAGGGACACATTTGTTGTAATGAATGGGCCTGTATTGCCACAGCATCATCACTCACAGTCTGTAATTTGCATTAGGGTTCCCTGGGTATTGTGCATTCTATGGGCTTCGACACAGGTATAACGACATACCCAGCATCATGACACCCTACAGAGTAGGGTATTTCAAGTAGGTGACACCCTACAGACTAGAAGTCTTCTGTGCGCTGCCTCTTCTTCTTTCCATCCTCCCTAAGGTAACCACTGGCAACCACTATTGACTTTACTCCTTCCATACTTGTGCCTTTTCCTCAATGTTATATATTTAGAATCACACACTATATGATTCATTGAGTTAGAATCATATAACGTATGATTCTAACTATATAACGTATGATTCTAACTATATAACATTTCTTCCATGTCTGTTCATGGTTTGTTAACTGATATTTTAGAGCTGATTAATATCCCATTATTTGTATATAGTGCATTTTGTACATTAATCCACTAGAGGACATCTTGGTTACTTCCACGTTTTGGCAATTATGAATTAAACTCCTTTAAATACTTATGTGTGAAAAAGGATTATATGTGAAGTAAATTTTCAACCCATTTGAGTACATACCAAAGAGCACAATTACTGGATTGTATGGTAAAAGTATATTTAGTTATGTAAGAAACTGCCGACTGTCTTCCAAAGTGGCTGTAGCATTTGGCATTCACACCAGCAATAAATGAGAGTCTCTGTTGTCATTTGTTACCACTAGTTGCTATTACTGTTTTTGATTTGGGTCACTATAATAGGTAAGTAGTGGTATCTCATTGTTGTTTTGATTTGAAATTCCCTGATGAGTTATGATGTTGAGCAGCTTTTCATGTGCTTATTTACCATCTTTACATGTTCTTTGGTGAGGTGTCCAGATAGTTTGCCTATTTTTAACTGTTTTTTTCATACTGTGAAGTTTTAATATATTCTCCCCCCCCCCCCGGTGTCTGACTTGCCTTCTCATTCTATAGGCAATGTCTTATGCAAAGCAGACGTATTCAATTTTGATTAGCTCATTAAGTCAAGCTTATCCATTCTTTCTTTCATGGATTTTGCTCTTGGTATTGTGCAGCCATGCAATGCTTAACAGAGGGGACATGTTCCGGGAAATGCATTGTTAGGTGACTCCATTGTGTGAACATCACAGAGTGCACTTACACAAGCCCAGAGGGCATAGCGTCCCTTTCGAGAAGAGGGAGGTTTTCTTTCTTTAAAAAAAATCTTTTATTTATTTATTTTTAGAGAGAGGAGAAGGGAAGGAGAAACAGTGGGAGAGAAACATCAATGTGTGGTTGCCTCTCATGTGCCCCCTACTGGGGACCTGGCCTGCAACCCAGGCATGTGGGTTGCAGGCCAGGGAATTGAACTGGTGACCCTTTGCCTCACAGGCCTGCGCTCAATCCACTGAGCTACACCAGCCAGGGCTGGGAGGCTTTCATCCAGAGTGAATATTTGCTCTGGCAAGTAACTTTTCTCCACAATAGATTTTTCCAAAATTTCTTTAGTTGCCTTTACATCAGCACTTGCAGACTTACCTCTCACATCCACATAGTGTAATAAATGATTCTCGAATTGCTCACACCACCCAGAGCCAGCAGTAAGTTCAGCATTGTAGTCAGGTCCAGACTTTTTTTCCAACATAGATGTTTAAACATCTAGAACCAAACTTTTTGCTTTGGTCGTGATTGTCATGGTGCTAGAAGAGATGCACTTCTGTGTCTGGTCTTTAAGTCATTAGAACTTTCCAAGTTTGATCTAGAACTTTTCTGAACTTTGTTAGTCTTGTTGCCATCAATAAAGCAGATTTTTAACAGCTTCCATCAGTTTTTCTTGTTCTCGAGATTATAGCTGTGGTGGAATAGGATGTGTCTGACTGGTGAGCAATGAGCATCACTAATTTTCCAACTTTCCAGTCCTTAATCACCCTTAATTTCAGAACAATCAGTTGATGTGGCCTTTTACCAAAAACATTAGCAATGGATTTTTTATGCTTTAGGGGCCATAATAAACCAAACAACACATGACCGAATCAAGCACAAGAGAAAATGATGGGATCTCAAGATGTAAGCAAGAGACGTTTGAGGTTGCTGCCAGTCCAGCATCACATGATGTAGTGTTTTACTGAGAACTTTAAAAAATTATGTACAAAAAGTACACTTTAAAATAGCGACAAAAACTATAGAATGGTAAATACATAAATCAGCCCTATAGTAGTTTATTATTATCAAGTGTTATGTACTGTTTATACTGTATGTGCCATATATACTCTTATATGAACATAATGTGGTATGTCTTACATTGATTACATTAAAACAAAGTTGATTTCTTCAGTAGGTGTTTATTTCTGATGTGTATCAATTCTATGCAACTGAGAGAATACCCATACGCTTATACATAATTTGGTGATACATCTAAGTAATATGTACATAATTATATAATGTATTGTAATAAAGTATTAAAGTGATGCTATTAAAATATTCATTATAATCTCCACTCCCATTAATCCAAGTCTTTGAGTAAATACCTGTGAATTCACTTGAAACTGAAAAAAAGATCAGTAATTCAGATGCTTATTTCTACAGTGCCTGGCAGTTGGATATTTGTTAATTCAGTTTTTAGGCTCGATGTTTTTCAAGTAAGCAATTAGCATCATATAGACAACATTAGAAGAAAATATAGATGTCTATTCAGCAATTTAGACTGCAATATGTTTTTATATAAAACAGATTAAGATGAGATAGTTGTAGTTTGAAAGTTTGAGACATTTCATCATTTAGAAGATTGCTTTAGTAATATACTTTGCATAATGATATTGGATGTTAACATAAAAATTTAAATAATACTGAAGATAAAGTACCTAAAGACATTCTAAAATTTGTATGTGATAACTATGAATGTAATGTTCACCTATATTCAGTTTTGTGTGTGTGAATATTCTATTTGGCCAACATTCCCTTAGTAACATTAAGTAGTGAAATCCAACTAGTGAGAAGAGTATCCAATTGAGAGATTGAGCTAAAAAACATAAAATTAATTACAACATAAATGTTTACCTCCTCTAATTCAGTTACGATAATTAAATGTCATTCTGGGTCAGCAATGTCTGAAAAATTTGCTTAAATTATTTAAATGGTTTGAAACATTTATTGGCCCGTGGCCAGATGGTTGTAGGTAGCCCTCAACTAATTTCTTTGTTATTAAACTATTTTATTCTTTAAAAACCAAGAACTAGCCAAAATGTTTTCCCAATGAAAAGAGTGTTATTTGGCTAATTTCAAAACTGTGCCATTTTTGAGCAGCTCATATTAAACTCCATTGTTTTTAATTTGGGAAGTTATTTTGTTCTTAGGGACATCTTACTTAAAATAGTATATCATAAATATATTGAGTATATACTTAGGGATGGCATTACGAAGTCATAGGCATACTTATGTTTAGCTTTAAAAGATAGTGTCAAGCAAGTCTCCAAAAGAAAAGTTGAAATTTCCTTTGAAAAACTGTCAATTTCTGTTAAAGTTGAACATAACCATTGTAACCTAGCAAATCCACTGGGATTCAAATACCCACCAGACGACAGGTGGGAAAATATTTATAGAAAGGCTATTGAAATTAGCTTAAATTAGAACAAACCTAAGTGTCAATGGTCTTAAACAGGATAAGTAAACAGTGGTATATTTGTATATTTGTACTGGAATACTATTTGGCAGTGAAAAAGACAACACACACAAGCATGGGTGCATCTCACAAATATTCAAGAGCGGCCAACTAATCTTAGATGATAAAAGGCAGAACCAATACTGCTTACCATAGAGGCAATGGTCAGCTTGTAGGTTCTGAATGGTGGCTAGTTTGAGCTGTACCTTTAAGAATTGTGTATTTTATGCATGTTATATTTAAATAAAATATACATTTAAAAATAATATGTCAGCTGTAGGAAAGAATTTCTAAATTTGGGGTGAGAAAAGTGGATCAAGGAAGAAGAGTGGGGAGTGAATCCCATTTATTTACTTTATCCTTTGTCACTCATTCTCTCTCTTTTTTTCTTTTTCCATCGGTTATTTTATTTTATTTAATTATTGTTCAAGTACAGTTTTCTGTCTTTTACTCCCATCCCAGCCCACCCCTCAGTGCTCCCCAACTCCCTCCCATTTCCACCCCCCTTAGTTGTTGTCCATGTGTCCTCTATACTTGTTCCTGTAAATCCTTCCCCTTCTCCCCTGAAATTCCCTCCCCTCTCCCCTCTGGTCCAGGTCCGCCTGTTCTCTATTTCAACGCTGAGTGAAATAAGCCAGGCAGTGAAAGACAAATACCATATGATCCCACCTTTAACGGAAATCATTCCCTTTTCTAAATTCGGAGTTACAGCACCAGAGACTGGAAGCCTCCAAACCCTCAGAGCTTCGCAAACTTCTGGCCTGGGCCCCTCCTGCGCAGAGGCGGGTGTGCAGGGGCGCAGCGTGCCAAGGCGCTGGGATCCCCTCCAATGCCACACAACACAACAGGAACTGCAGAAACAACGGCAAAGCCCCGCTAGGAGCCAAATAGCAGGCGCCCCCCGGTAGCTCCCCGCCTTTCAGCCGCGCTTGGTGGACAGCGACAGGGACCCCCCCCCCTCCCCAAAGAACGCTCGGGCAGGCGCTTTTACTAATTTCAGGAGGATACACGTTTGTTCACAAAAAGAGCTGTTCTCCCTTGGGTATAAATGAGAACAAACCAGTGAACACTGGAACAACATGCAGCTGCTTTGCTGTTTATTTTTTATTTTTTAAATTCGGAGCCAGCAGGAGCCAGCGCACCGCTGGTAGAAGTGCCCGCGAGTGCGGACCGACTTCTTTCTCACCGGCCTGTCCCCTCCGGGTGACGCGCGCACCGCGGGAGGGAATTCCACTTCTCAGGGCACCTGTGCGCAGGGACACGCCAGCGGACTCTCCTGGAAAAGAGACCATGCCCCCCAGGTCCCTCCGCAACCTCTCCCAGACGGCCGGCGGGAATCAGAGCGGCTTCTTTCCCGGGCTCTCGGACCGGGATCTCCTGCCCGCCCCCGAGGGCACCACGGCCGAGCTGGTGGTCCGCGGTGTGGTCCCGTCCCTCTATCTGCTCATCATCACGGTGGGCTTGCTGGGCAACATCATGCTGGTGAAGATCTTCGTCACCAACAGCGCCCTGCGGAGCGCCCCCAACATCTTCATCTCCAACCTGGCCGCCGGGGACCTGCTGCTGCTGCTCACCTGCGTCCCGGTGGACGCCTCGCGCTACTTCTTCGACGAGTGGGTGTTCGGGGAGGTGGGCTGCAAGCTGATCCCCGTCATCCAGCTCACCTCGGTCGGCGTGTCCGTGTTCACTCTCACCGCACTCAGCGCCGACAGGTAAGGGCACAGGTAGAGGCCGAGTGGCTTCTAGAGTGGTGGGGAGGGGCGGGGAGAGCACCTGGGGGGGGAGGGGGAGAGGAAAGAGGGGGAAGAGGAGGAGAGTGTGGCTGGGAATTAGAGTAAACAAACGATGATGAAACCGACTGAGATGTGCAGCTGGAAAAAAACACATGAGAATTATTACTTTAAAAATAATTAAAATTGCATTGGTTTGAAAGTAGTTTTAAAACTGCATATCCTAGTCTTCCTCTTCCCTTCCACACATGTTGGGAATCTTCTGTTTCATAGGAAAGCTACAGAATAAATGGGCGATATTTATTCTGTAAATGGAGCTACCTCGTAGAAGCCGTCTCTGTGTGCTTAACACCTTAGACGTGCAGTTTCCTTATTCTGTAGCTTAACAACCTGATGGGTAAGAATGTCTGCTTTAATATTAAGGAAACGTTTGATTTTGACATTTTTTCCAAGTAAGGGGAAACATCATCTACACTTAAAAACTAAATTTTGCTACTTATTTGAAGCAAAAACAACTAGAATAGTAAATGTTCTGACACATGATGTCACACATTTTTTTGTTTTAATACCTCAAGTCAAGTGATATGTTGTTTGTTTTTTTCACAAACAGGTAGGTACCAACTATTTGTATTTTAAAAGTGTTGTAAAAATACACCTTAGATGTTAAATCTGCTTTACATATATGTTAAGAGTGGGAAGTACCCATAACTCTACCTTGCAGATCATGTAGTTCAACTGCATCACTTTCCAGATGAGGGTATGGAGGCCCAGGGAATGGAAGTTCACTGGCAGAGCTGGGAAAAGACTCCAGGCCGGCGAATCTGGGGTCCTGTACCACTGTTGAAGGCTCTCTGAACCGTGCTTTTGGACATTTAAGCAGGAGGGATGCCTGGATGGGAGGGGGCAAAATTGGGCACGTGCACATTTGAAGTGATGTTCAATCAGGTATTACCTCATGAAGCTCAGACCCATACAAATGGGTGTTGACTTAAACTATTTAGAGAAACTGTTTTAACTTAGATGATTAAGAGAGTGTCGCTCTCCACCTCTTTAGTTTATATGTTAGGTTATTATTAAAACTTGAATCCATCTGAATTTCCTGGTATTTGTAACAATACCCTTATATCACTTTGGTGTTAACTGTTAGTCTTCATCAAAGGAAGACAATATTCAGTGCAGAGTTGAGAGCTATTGTCTTCTTAAACTGAATATTACTGATTTTTAAATTTGTGTAATATTTTCTCTAGAACCACATTC